GATTTCTTCCTGTACATATATAAAGAGCTGATTTTATGCGGATGATATGATACACACAGTGGCCTTTAGTGTTGGGATAGATTTTATAATATACACTTCACTCTAAATTATGCCTCCATCCAATTAAAAGGATGAGGTTACAGGCACTAGGTGTCTGGAGCAGTTACCATGATGGCTTGTGTGTGTATGTGTGTGTGGTTGTGTATGCTGTGTGTTGTGTGTGTGTGTGTGTGTGTGTGTGTGTGTGTGTGTGTGTGGTGTATGCTGTGGGGGAGGAGGGAACAGATTGATAGAGGGGGGAAGAGAGAGAACAAACAACAGGCTGCCTGAGGCACATGTCATCAAAAGGACTACAGATAAAAACAGACCCAAGAGGCTGGATTAGAGCTTTCTTTAGTGGACAAAAGGAGAAGACTTAACTGAAAGACTTAACTAGAGGATTAAGTCTCTATGCTCGTCAAGTTCAGGACTGACAGGATGAGGGAACGGGTTCTGTCAAACCCTTGCCAAACTAAATCTGACATGAGCTTTATAGAATGGAAGCACACACTGAATTCCTCTTCCCTTGCAAATGCCCTCCCCACTGAAAAAAAGCCTAAGATCCACCTGCCATATGCACACACCAAGAGGAGGGAAGACTGTCAAGATGGGGGTTTGAGCAGAGTTTCAGTTAAAAAAGCAGGGGAAAGGTACGTTGGGACAGTCTCAACCACTGAAAGCATAAGCCATACGTTTGCAGGGAGGAAAAAAGGAAAAGCTGTGCACATTCTGTGGCTCACTGTACCAGGTGCAATATTCTCCACCTCTGCAACTTCTCAAAAGTCTTCCTCTAACCCCAGCTTTGGTAGAAACCTAAAGCCAGCTTTCCCCTCAGGACATACCTTACTTCTCCAGTAGTTTCGGATACTCTTCTCGTATCTTCCCTAGCAAGGGCAAGGAGACCCCTCAGAATCACACGGCTCCTCACTGCCCCTTCCAGGCAATCCAACCCTCCAATTCCCCTCAGAGGCCCCTCCTGACCAGTGCTCACCATCTTGGCCCCACAAACCTACTTTCATCCATCATTTCTTCTCCCAGTAAGTGACACTATCCATGCTAGGGCCCTGAGAGATGTGTTAGATATCATCCTGGTCTAATACTGCTTTGGTATCTCTGCACACCTAGATCCTCTTCCAGGCCATAGCTACCTTCTACCTGCCGAGACTTCGCTTGGTCCATGTTCCAGCGGATAAAAAGTGGAGACACAGTGCTGTGGATTTTGTCTTTTCAGTCAGTGAGCCCTAAGGACCCGCAATTACCTGGGTCAATGTTTTTGACCATCCTAATGTCAATGACTAAACCAACCACGATAGACAGATACGGCCAAGAAGACAACAACAACAAAAATCAGATTATTAGGAACGTCCAAAATTCCATACCCAACTAGCAAACCACTTATGGAATAAACATAGACTTCACTGCTGTTAAAATGCTCTGGCCTCAGCTCATCCAGACAAAAACATGACTGAGTCTTGCTAGCAGCTTCCCATGAACTGGTGCCAATAATATGTGATGGAATGATATTTTAAATGTGCCAGTGTTCTAGAAAGTAATATTGGCCAACTTCAAAAAAAAAAAGAACGTAAAACAAGTTTTCTGGACCACTTCGGAGCTTCAGAATGAGAATGTAATTTCCAAACAGATTTTTCCTTGGGGCCAGATCTAAGGGAGAAAACATGCAATTCAACATCCAGAAAAGGACCCAAAGATCCTCTGAAGGCAAACTGGAGCAAGTAGATTCATCTCAGAGGTACAACAAGCCAGCAGCAAGAATGTGGTATCTGTGGCACACAAGGACAGCATGCCCAAGCCAGCTCTGAGAAGACATCCCAGTAAAACAGCAGAGACCAGGAAAAGGGCTCTGAGCAGTCCCTGTTTCTATGTAGTGTCTGCAGGGAGCTCAAAAAAAATTAGTCTCAGGCTAAAATAGCCATCAGTTAGTCAAAAGCTCAGACTTTTAAAAAGAGGGATTTAAAAAAACCGTAATTATTGAGCATTTTCTATTAAAAAGGCAGTGGCACCAAATTAACGCTCTAAAGGTGAAATATTTAGTCATCCAATCAGTTGTTTAATTAGCACAATGCCAAACAAAACTGGCTGACAAATTCCCTCTCTGAATCAGCTTCATTTACTTTCTGGCTCTGCACATGTATGAACAGTCAGAATGAATTTCACAAATCCAAGTTCACACCAAAAACTCAACTTAATGAAACTTAAATGAAAAAGTTGTTATCCTCCTGATTTATAAAACAGAAAATGTAAGAAGCATCTCAATGCAAAAAGTCAAATGCAAGAACTCAAGTATAAAGCAGTCTGATTAAAAAGAAATCATCAAAGAACCCAGTCCTGGGCCTCAAATCAAAGGAAAAGCAAATCTAATGGACCAAAAAGGCAGGACATTTTTAAAAAAATCAATTATTAACTAAATCTTCAAATCCACAAGAGAATTCTTATCATTCGGTCTCCTAAATCACCAAAGTGATTTCTAAAGTCTACGTTTCTGACAAGATCACACGAGCCCTGGTTTCGATCATATGTCAATCAACACCAAATACTGACCCACTTCCACGTATATGACAAAGTTCCCATAGCATAGAAAAATAGTGATTTAAAAATGATTTAAAATGGGGCGCCTGGGTGGCTCAGTCGGTTGAGTGTCCGACTTTGGCTCAGGTCACGACCTCATGGCTTGTGAGTTCGAGCCCCGCGTCGGGCTCTGGGCTGATAGCTCAGAGCCTGGAGCCTGTTTCGGATTCTGTGTCTCCCTCTCTCTGCCCCTACCCTGTTCACACTCTGTCTCTGTCTCTCTCAAAATTAAATAAAACATTAAAAAAAATGATTTAAAATAATTTTAAAAATTAGATTTAAAATCTAACCATTTTTGAAGGAATCCATACCCTGTATTTGGTCCAACATGGTATTTGCTCAGCAACCACAGAGGCATTCTAGGCTACTACGAGTATCTGGCTTTTCTGGAGTTGAAAAAAAAGGGGGGGGGCAAATACACACGTTTTAACTTATTTATATCATTTTAATTCCCAGGTAGGAGAGAACAGAAGCAGTCACAGAGATTGTGTCCAGAAATAACCCAAGCTCTACCTTGCCAACCTGATACTTAGTTCACCTTTGAAGACCCAGCCTTCTTTCTACAGCAAGTCACTGTACTGTAGAGCACAGTCTGGAGCAAAACCCTCAGACAGAAACAATGAGACAAAAGACAGCCGAACAGTGTGCCAGGATCACGATGTGGGCAAGCTATCCCCAGGGCCCACTTGGTGAGCAGCATTTGGTCGCCAACCCTGGGCATCTCAGAGAAGTATTCTGAAGAGGAGGGAAGAAAAGGGACTGAAATATTTTGCAAATAACATCTTCTACTCTCAACCCTAACCTCATACTAATCTACCTTCATCTGTGAACAGAGAAAGAGAAAAAGAAACAGAAGAGGGGAAGAGTAAAGAGAGAAGGAGACGATAATAAAGACAGTTACAATAGAAAACACTGGTAAAAGGTTCTGGAGTCAGACTGATGTGTGGGAAGCTCAGCTCTGCAGCGTAACAACTTCGTTTTACATGTTGGCCAATCTGCTTAATAATCATGCATCTTTGTTTTCTCATCTACAAAGTAGGGCTAATAATACCCTGCTGGGTAGTTGTGAGGAATAAACAAAGTATGTAAAGCACTTAGCATGCCGCCTGCCACAGAGGAGGTAGGTGGTTAATATAAAGAAGCTTAAGAAAGAAGAGGAGTGGGAGGGGATGAGACGGAGAGAACTTTCAGAGAAAAAATCTCAAGGGTTAAAGAAGCATCTAAACCCAGAACAAATACCTCATCTTCTTTACAATCAATCTGAAAATATTTCTTGGTCACCTACCACATAATTAGCACCATGCTTCATTCAGAAATGAAGCATCCTCCTCCTTACTCTCCAGGTGCACACAATCCAGCTCAAGAAACAGAAATCACACGTGCAAAATATGTAAAAAAACAAAAACAAAAACCCACCTCTATTGTGCTCAATTGTTAGATATTCGACGTGTACTACTGCAAGCACCGCAGCCATGTGGAGAAGGGGCCTATGAGGGCAACTTGTCCGGGGAGTTTCAGGGTCAGGGGTGGTTAGAGGCAGGAACGGGCACTTCCGAGAAGCAGGGGGCATGTCAGGGGAAGGAAAAGAAGATGTGCCCCAGCTGGAATTTTGCACCTAAAACACCAGGAATATGAGTAGGCAGTTGGGGGGTGACAAAAGACTGGACGAGGGATGAGACAGGCAGGAAAGCAGACAGCATGGGAGCCAGCTAAAGCAAAAGCGGACTGGACTTCAGAAATGAAGATGAAAAATAAAAGAGAAGGATCTGCCTGAGTCTCTTTCAGATTTCTCGTTCTTGTTTGAGGCTGAGTGCATTCTTTCTTCCTGATATTTCTTAGGAGGAAACAAAATCATACTCTTCTATCTCCCTAGATAAAGTCATCATCACCCTTCTTGATACCTAGGCTGCCCAGGGCAGAGTTTATAAATGTGGGCTTGGTGGAGTCCATATCCGGGCTCTGCCACTTACCAACTGTGTGACCTGAGGCAAGCAAACTAACCGGCTGGGCCTTACTTCCCTTCTCTGTAAAAGAGGGGTAATTATAATATCCCACTCTCAGACTGTTGAGCGGATAAGCAATTCAATACGTTTAATAAATTGCCTTACTTGAGAAGCACTTAGAAGAGTGCCTGGCACACAGGAACAATCCACAAAAGTAACCTGATACTATTATTGTTACCTCTATTAGCCATCTTTAGCTAGAATATAGCCGTAGAAAGCACAAAGAAGCATCTCGCATGTCACTAAGGAGGAGGTACCAAGGGGAAACCCATCTTGGAATTTCAAGTTCTTCCAAAACTACAGCCAACAGTGAAAACCCCAAGGCAAGACACCCAGTCAATCCAGTGTCACACAGAGGATGTGAGCCCATACCTGGCTTGGTGAATGGCCTCCATCCACTCTTTACCATCCTGCTCCTCCTCACAGCGCAACTCCAGGGGTTTCTGACCTTCATGGCCAAAAAGAACGGTAAAGTAATACTAGAGAGAAAAACAAACAAAGTTTAGTTTTATTTTTCAAGCCTGACCGCATAATACACTATTTTCCTACAAAGGGTGTATGTGTAAAAAATGCATCAGCTTTATGTAAATCATATTTCAAAATGTAATATCACTCCCAGTCCACTTGGCAATGACTTTGCACCTAGAAGATACAATAGGTTGCATCTTAACGCCCTTCAGTAAGAGTCAACCCGCAACACCTCACTCAATACAGATATTTGATAAGGCTACAAGGTATTTGATAAGGCTACACATATGCAGGATTAAAACTCCTTGCTGACATTTCTAAACCTAATAAAGGATATCTAACCAAAACCTTACTACAAACATCTTACCTATTGGTGTGCTACTGCAAGCAACCTTTCTGAAATCAAAAATAAGAAAAAGATGGCAGTTATCACTACTTACATTTGCTAATTCTCTCTGGTGGGCAATATAGAAAAATAAAGGAAAAAAGGCACAAGAAATGGAAAGCAAGGGAAAAACTCATTTTTCACAGCTGATATAATTGTCTATATTAAAAATTAATTGAAGAAGACATCCAGAGGGCTAACAGACACATGAAAAGATGCTCAACATCACACATCATCAGAGAAATACAAATCAAAACCGTATTGAGATATCACCTTAAACCTGTCAAAATGGCTAAAATTAACAACACAAGAAAAAACAGGTGTTGGCGTGGATGTGGAGAAAGGGAAATGTTCTTGCACTGCTGGTGGGAATGCAAACTGGTGCAGCCACTCTGGAGAACAGTATGGAGGTTCCTCAAGAAACTAAAAATAGAATTACTCTATGATATATCAATTTCACTACTAGGTATTTACCCAAAAGATACAAAAATGCAGATTTGAAGGGGTACATGCACCCAAATGTTTATAGCAGCATTATTAACAACAGTAGCCAAACTATGGAGAGAGCCAAAATGTGCATCAATTGATGAATGGATAAAGATGATACACACACACACACACACACACACACACACACACACAATGGAATATTACTCAGCTATCAAAAAGAATGAAATCTTGCCATTTGCAATGACATGGATGGGGCAAGAATGTATTATGCTAAGTGAAATAAGTCAGGCAGAGAAAGACAAATACCATATGATTTCACTCATGTGGAATTTAAGAAAACAAGCATATGAACATACGGAAAGGAGAGGGGGAGAGAAGAGAGGGAAACAAGCCACAAGAGACTCATAATGACAGAGAACAAACTAGGTTGATGGATGGAGGTGGGTGGGAGGTAGGTTAGATGGGTGACGAGTACTAAGGAGGGCACCTGTTGTGATGAGCACTGGATGTTAAGTGATGAATCACTGAATTCTACTCCTGAACCCAATATTGCACTGTATGTTAACTAAAATTAAATTTAAAAAAAAAATGAAGAAAAAAAGAAACAAAACAGATGAGCATATGGGAAGGCGGAAAGAGAGAGAGGAGGAAACACACCATAAGAGACTCTTAAAGATAGAGAACTGTGGGTTGATAAAAAAGAATTCATTGAAAAACTACTAGAATAAGACCACCAAACAAAATTGCTGGGGATAAAATCAATATACAGCACTTTGGTATAATATCAACAAACACAAAACTTAATTTTGAAAACAAAGCATTTGTAATAACAAATACAAATAGGACTAAATCCAAGAAGATATGTTTATCATCTCTAAGAAGTCAACTAATCTATAGTTTCGATGCATTCCAATAAAAATATCAACAGTTTTTATTTTTGGTGGAATTTGAATCTGAGATCTGAGCCAGGGGAGAAGCTTTCACTTTAAGCCAGGCTAATTGAGGCTGGATGTATTAATTACCAAACTGAGACTGTCTGGAAAGGAAATGTGACTAGATAGCTTTTTATTATATGAGAATATTCAGAAAATACACTGGACCCACCAGGATGTCATGATGGGGCATAAAAAGAACCAGCCCCACAGAGCTGCTCTAAGGGAGAACCAAAGCCAAACACAGAGTTCTTCCTGTTGTCCCACCTTCCCACCTACTCCCAAAGTTTTGTTCATTCAGTGTGACACTTAGGTACTCATTTTCTTCAAATGAATTAAAAGCCTTCAGGACAATAATCCTAGAAATAAGAATTTCCAGCACAAGGGGAAAAAAAGAGAGAGGCAAACCAAGAAATAATCTCTTCACTATAGTGAACAAACTGATGGTTACCAGAGGGTTGGTGAGTCGGGGTATGGGTGAAACAGGTGATGGGGATTAAGAAGTGCACTTGTGATGAGCACCGGGTAATGTATGCAAGTGTTGAGTCACTATATTGTACACGTGAAACTAATATATACATAGTATATTATCTAACTGAAATTAAAATAAAAACTTCAGAAGAAAAAGAATTTTCAACACAATTACACCAAAAAGAAAAAACTGACTAAGAGACTTCTCAGGTTACCTGTGCATAAATCATCAGTGCATTGAGGACTCTGAGACCTGCCTATGTGATAATCCACCACACTTCCCCATGGACAGTCCTGAGCCCCATAAATGACAAGCTGTCTTTAGTTCTTAAACCTCCTGTCCAGCCAGAGAACTAAATGCAATGAACCAGGGGGAAATAACCTGATGAAGGGGCCATGGAGAACGAGAAGAATTGAGTTTAGCCCTCTATTCAATAAAGCTCCATTTAAATTTGAGAGGAAAAAAGTCGAAACTCAACAAAATAACAAATCAGTGTCTTAAAGGTCAATCCTATAAGTGATGGCATTTCAGTAACTGCTGGCTATTGTCCAAGCCCAGCGGCCCAGTCCAGGGAGAGGAAACATGTAATGAACCAGCCCGATCTATTGAAAGGCTGTGACGGGCGGCTCCACAGCAGCTGCTGCTAAGAAACCCAATTAAAAGCCACCTTTCAGAGACAGCAAAGTAATTATATTAGCAGAGTACATCCAAAGGTTAGACCATGTCTCAGGCATAACAATGATGGTTTTGAGAAGTGCATGTTACCTTTCCAGGAGTTCACTTAACAAATTCAGCTCAACTACAAAAAATTAAACACTGCCAGGGCGCCTGGGTGCCTCAGTCGGTTAAGCGTCCGACTTGGCTCAGGTCATGATCTGCGGTTTATGAGTTTAAGCCCCGCATCGGGCTCTGTGCTGACAGCTCTTGCTGACTTGCTTCAGATTCTCTGTCTCCCCCTCTCTCTGCCCCTCCCATACTCATGCTCTGTCTCTCTCTGTCTCTCAATAATTAATAAACATTTAAATTTTTAAAAAAATTAAATAGTGCCTCTGCATGCATCTATAACTTTTTTTTTTTTTTTGGCCTTTCATCAAAGTTTTCTTTGTATAGAATATTCTGGCCTCATTCTGATATAAACTTAGTATACCATGCATCTATGTGTCAGACCTGGGGCTTTAAAAATCCCTTGAGGATCAAAAGTAGCAACAGACTCCCTTGACAGTACTCTTGACCTCAGACCTGTCCCACTGTAAGAACTTGGAGAAATTCCAAAGTACTGGGTCATTATGAAGTGCAAGGAAGAATTAAAACAGTGATGACCTTGTTTATGTCTTTAAATGTAACATCTGCAGTGACAATGACTTTCTCTTCTTCTCCCAGACATTCCCACCTGTTTCCCCAATCTATTTCTCCAGGCAGATTCTCTCCCAGGCACCAGCCCCATATATATTTCTCCTATTACATAGCATTTCAGTCAGATCTAAAACTGAGTTCATTACCTTCCCTCTCTCCCTCCCATACTCTTGTCTTTTCTCTGTCAAGTGAATCTTTATTCAATGGTTACCCTAACTGGGAATCCCAAAGTCATCTTCGACTTCCCCCTCTTATCAGCCCCACATGTGGTTTCACCAAAGCTCTTTCATAGGACTCCCTTCGGGCTTTTATTATCCCTCACCTAGACTACTGTAGCAGCTTTACCATCAGGCGACAAATATGACGGCTTTGAAATACTTACCAATTGATACTCATTGTCTTACAGCTGACCTCTCTCCCTCCTTGTTATCTTACAGCTGACCCCTCTCCCTCCTTGCTATCCTTGTTATCCTGGCCACTATGAGAGCCAAAAGGTTAATGGCCCCTGCCGAAGGAGGACAGGATGACCTCAAGAAGTCCCGGTGAGTTTGGAACACAAGGAGAAGTGTGGAAAGAAGAAATGGTCAAGGTAAATAGAGAAATCATGAGACAGAGACACATATGGTACAGCTTCACCTCACTCAGGGCTAAAAACCCGGAGGAGGGTGAGGAGTTAAAAAGGTTGATAACAAAACCAAAATCCAAGAAGCTTCTATATCGCTGTTCCTTTAGGGATCTAGAGCATGTCACCTCATGGAACGTTCTAATGTCCTGCCCCCGACTCTCACGACAACATAGGGTGGTCACTGCAAATCAGCAAAACTGGTGTCACAGCAGTTAGGTGAAAAGAAAAAAAAGGCCTAAGTTTTGAAGTTGGCTCTCCAGAGCCTGACTAGCTTTTAAGTGGTGTGGACATTTGCAATTATACAGTATACTATGGAGGCCCAAGAAGGGAAGGGCACTGTCAAAACTTACCATGGGATGGGGTACGGGTTATGCAGGCCTAGAAGAGCCAAAGTGGGACCATGTAAGCCATATGGACAACCAGGCCCTGGCTGACCCAGCAGAAAATAGACTGCAAGTTACAGCAGCCACACACTTCAGCAACAGTCGCCAAAAGATGCCCAAGGCAGAGCCAGAACAACACCAGACCATAGTCAGAACCAGCAAGGACTCCCCCAACCTTTGATACATACACACACACTCACACACTCACACACACACACACACACACACACACACACACACACCCTAAAGGACACGTGAGACTCCATTTACTGAGATACCATCTTAGTGAGGTACAGAGGGAAAAATGAATTTCCAAAAGAGACTTCCCACATTACTGGGGCAGACTGAGTTTCCTACTCTTAACTAAATCTAGGTTCTTTTTTTCTCCACTTACTAAGTGGAGAAGGGGTC